CAAATAACATGCAAACAATAACGTAAATAGATCAACTGTTATTCAATTTGGCTAGTGTAATTGTATTATAATAGTAGAGCTCGCAGAGCGTAGCCCCATAATTATACGAAATAGTAGTAACCCATTTTTCATACTGCTGTTGTTTTAGGTTAGACTTATACTTAATTTCATAAATATTTGTTTAAGCTATATCAAAAGTAAATATCCAAAGAAATGTAACATTTTTGAGACCTGTATGTTTACTTGTGATTGTCTTTTAATTGAAAAGAACTTTGTAAACACGCCAACCGTAAATTAAATTAATGTTAATAGTATTGTAATACATGTATCGTAATGTAGTGTATGCATAATTTGTGTAAGTATAAGTATCAGTAGTGTAAGTAGCAAGTACAATGTAAGTGTAATTAATACTGTAAGTAGTGTAAGTGATCGTCTTGTAAATAAAATTGTTAAAAAAAAAAAAAAAAAATAGTAGTAACCCATCAAGCCGATAAAATTTGGACATGCGACCGTACAAAGTGCTACTTTTAACATGCGTGGTCGACTGTAGCGCGGGCATGCCAACGCCACGGCTTTTTTCAGTAGTCCAGTGGTCAGTGCACTGGGCTCCGAGGCGGACGACCCAGGTTCTAGTCCAGACCGGGGCAAGGCGTTGTGCCCTTGAGACGTGCGGGGAAAAAAAAAATGCGAGCTCCGCTTTTAGGCTTGGCTAAATCTATATATTATATGTATTGTAAGTAATGCAAGTTAATGTAGTGTAAGCATCGCGTAAGAAGTAAGTATAGTGTAAATACATATGTAAGTATAATATATAGGGAAAAAAATTTAAAAAAAAAACAAACAAAAACAAACAAAAAAACAAATAATTTAATCATTTGCAGGAAGGTTAGGGAGGAAATTAAAGGATGGATATATGTTACTTTAAAGAAACCTAGTACGATTAAACAAAGTAGAAGTATTTTAATTACCCACATGGCTATGCTTCTGAATACTGCCAGAATAGGAATCTTTTATGCAATTATCTACATATGTAAACCGGGTGCAATAAGCGGTCGTAAAAGCGATTTTATTCTAACCTTCCACTAACCTTTCAGATGCATCGAGTTCAGTAACTCCAGAGTCATATATCAGGCTTTTGGGGCTACAAAACAGTCAATTAATCATTAATTTATGCCAGGCCAATTTATTGAGAGTCAACATTATATTCAGTATAGTTTCCTAAAACGGTATGGAAATTTTACAATGTGCTTCACTTGTGCTACATAATTATACGGATTTATCGCCTTTAATTACTAATGAAATTCCGAGAGTAGTAACTAGCGGACGCAATCATACAAGCTGTGAGCTTAATACAGACAACCTTTATCAAAACAATTCAAGGATAATTGTCTCAATGTGATTCAAAATTTCATTTACAAACGCCATAGAGGTAAAAATTTTTTAAAAAAATGGAAGTATTTCTTGAACTTCTAAAAATGTTCGCTTTTTTTCTCTCTCTGATGAAAAGTCATGACAGAAATACGTTTGAGGCAAAGTTCGTTTTACTGTTTCCGATATATTTTGAAACTGATTCAAGTTGCAAAAATTTAAGTAAATTGAGAGTATTTTGTGATCGAAACAATAAATTTCCAATAAGACTTCTTGTCACGCGACTCAATGGCTTGGAACTTTAAATCATGCCTCACGTTAGGCGTTCGGCCCATACGAAACTACTCTCTGAATTGTTCATCATTCAGTCCAATAACAGAAGCCCTGTGACTGTTACTTCATTTATGACATAGCTTTTTCTTTGATAACATATTTTCCCTTTCCTCTGAGTTCTTTTCACGAATGAATGGGAAGGCACCAGCAAGACGATCAATTCATAGGAGGGCGTGCAAGCTGAGACCGACATTCTATGTTAGTAATAACGAGAATTAGTAGAACTCAAATTATTTTTGATGTGGCACTGCAAGTCTGGATAGTAGGCTGTAAATCACTCTCTTTGCCAGTGAACTTCATGAAAAATTTTGCGCATCAAAACCGTTTTTGGCGGTGTACTTGGGGTATACAACCGGCTTAGTTCTGATCTTTCATTACAAATTCCTGTCATATGTCTAAAAGGTAAAAGTCAATAAATAGCCAGTATTCTAAAGAAGGAAATTGTTAGCAAGGTAAAATGTCATAAATATAAGGATGCCATGCTATAAATTTCTAAGATCGAGTCACTTTCGTTAGCTTTCGTTAGGCGACAATGTTAAATGAAACCGCTTCACCAATTACGTAGGGTAATGGATGGCTTAATTCTATTAAGTGTTTTGGCGAGCCTCTATTGGTGCACTTCTATCCCCATTATTATTTCGATAAGCAGATGTTTTTTCCTCGCGGGTGCGCCACGTTTGAGAGTAAATGTCAGTAAAAATCAAGGAAAATTCAAAAAACGTGGCCACGGTCAAAAAATCGATTTCGCTCATACTTTGTCAGTTTGAAGGCCTAGGTAAGTAACTGAAGGATATGAGGTTAGTTTTTTGAAATATTCCATATAACGGCAGAAAACCACGAACAACGGTCACCGTACCGGAAGCTCGGATTTCACCTGGCGGAAACTCGAAATTTTACACTTTTCAGCTTCTCGCTACACAGACGTTTACATAGCTGTGAATCTTTCTTAAGTATAACTGAATACATTGATTCTTCCTTAGTCAAACCATGGGAATTATTTTTATCTCTGCTTATTTGTGAGCGAACTGAGACCCGATTAAGAAGACACACTTTTCTCATTTACGCGAAGGTGTAAAATAATCCAAACTCAGCGACGAAAAAAGCTGACCGGTAGTTCTTCAAATCCTCTGATATTATAACCAAAGACAGTTCAGTCATTGATTTTTAGGTCTACGGTTTTAAATCTTTAGGATCTAGTAGCACTTTTGCATGAACGCCAATCAAAATTCGATAAAATTCCAATTGAGCGCCTTTGAAATCTACAACTCTACATAACAAAGCACTATTGAATAAATTAACTCCTCGGCCAAAGTTTGTACATAAAACATAAGGGTTTTGCTTTTTTAGCGGTTTGAAGCGTTTTAAAAATATATATTAATGTTAAATATTGTCTATACAGGTAAAACAAACTATGAAACACCAAAATTACCACGAGCTGAAATTAAATCTCACAGGCTCGCTCCCTAATCTGCGTCACGCACGAGCGACTTAGCTACAATTAGTACAGTAACAAACAGATATTTACATCCGTTGATTTTAAATAAGTCGTATTTTTAAAATATCGTACTCAAAGATGTGCCAGGTTTCCCGGTTAACTTGCTGAAAAAAAAAGAAAACCTTAATAGTAATTCTAGCTCAATTAGAATTGATTTTATTTAGTATGAGAAGTTTTGTGCCGTCGAAAACCAATCGGAAGTAACTGTTTCCACGAAAAGCAAATATTGCATCTTTCTCTAAATAAATAAATCTACTTAACCATATAACCAGAGTATGTTGTTGGCGAAGTTAATAGACATACATAACAACGACGTCTTGCTCGTTCTTGAATATTGTCGGTGGGATTTGCGGCGCAGACGAACGCACTTGCTAAGTAACTTCCAATGGCTAATTTCTACCCTTACTCAGCTTTCGTCACACTGCCCACGCTGTGTAACAAGGATATAAAACATCGCACGAAGTCCTAAAAAACTCTCCGGACTTGAACCAGAATTGAGTTTAGCAAGATTGCGTGTTTTTAAAAGCCAACGAGTTTATTGGAGATGACTACCCGTACCGTCTCATCGTGTCACTTAGGCATAACCTGACACGATGTCGATAGTTTCGACTCCTGATGGCCGAGAGCATTCGGATTTCTTTTTTTCCGAGTACGCCTGTGTCACTTACTGAATAATACATCATTCTCATTTATTCACCAGGCTTAAAAATATTCCATCACATTTATTCCATTGCGCGTATGCCACACATGACATTCCAATCCTAGCAGTATGCAGGATGTTTGTCCCATAAAGCACTCGGATTTTTTTTCCGATTATGCCTGTGTCACTTACTGAGTAATACATCATGTTCAAAAGTATTAATTTTTGCACCATACAGGAAGTTGTTTCGGGTCACTCAGCAAGAGCTGTGAAAAGTAGCCGCACTGGAATAGGAATATATTTTTTCCAATCCATGGATATATTTGACCTTGCAAAATAGCTCGTCCCTATGGGCTCAGGTAAATAACAGCTAAAAAATGTACTACCAAGCAGGAACTGTCTCCAATGAGTTTTGTATCCTCTTCATTCTCTTGTCCAATGCGACTATTAAAAACACTATGAGTTTTACGACTTGCATGTTTTATTGATTGCACTTGTCAAACAACACTTCAGTCTGTCATTAATAGAGAAAATAAAGTTTAATTTTGACAATATTCGATGAAAAATACTAAGAATTTTCCAAAGAGGGCACCGAAGAATAAATAATATGCACTGTCATTTTTACGACATTTAAAAAGGAGGGAAGGGGGTGGGGGAAAGGATTTAACAACCATACTACTCTCTCTCCCCAACCACCCACAAAGTGCACAGTTTGCACAGTATACTAGTGGAAACGTCACATCCACATTTATATGTTTACGTTTAATAGCACAATTACGGTCGTTGCATCACTCCAATATGGCCATTTCCCCACAAAACTATATTTAAGTAGATCTTTGATCAATCTTGTACTTCAAACTTTGTTACTTTGAATTTTTCTTGGCTTCTTGCGGAGACAATTTCAAACTTTTTAGCCCTAAAACTTTAAATGGATATACAACTGTAATTAGCTTACATTACGTGACTGGTTGGCTGGTTTAATTCGGTGGCAGCCTTGAGGTGGTCGCCATACCATTTGTGTATCTACCTTTTCACTGAACACACTTTTAAAAAAAGATATCAATCAAATGAAACGATTTTTTCGAAAGAAAATAAATGATGTTATCTTGTATACAATTATGCGCAAGGCATAATTAGTCAACAGAAAACAGTTTATTAATCTGCTTATGAGGTACAGCCGCACTCGACTACAAGCTTTGAAAGACGACTAATAAACGGATTCTTTCGTCTTTGTGTTATATCAGAGACGTCCACACCAAGTTCATCGCAAATACTGGGCAGCATGTCCACACTCAGTGACATCAGCTTTTTCTTGCCCATGCGCATGAGTTCACAGATGTTGTAACCTGACGACGATACAATGGGGTGCTGAAGGGAAACCTCTCTCATCACTTGCGCACAGATTTCAGATTGGATTACCTGTTCTTGTGATGTTCTGTCATCTTCTCTAGTGGTCTCTTCGTCCGACTCTTCCCGGTTCACTGTACTGGGAGGAAGCCTTTTCTTTGCTGCCAGTCGTGAGAAGAATCCAGTGATTTGCTGTCCTGTTAGAACTTCTTTTGGTAGAAATCGACGAGCTCCTAACTCGTCCCTTGAAGATCTCATCATTTTTGAGACTTCATTCGGATCTGCTTTCCTTCCACTCTGCTCGCCAATTTCAAATTGTTGTTTCAAAAATTCATTCTGTTTTTGCGTAAAACGTGTCTTCTTTGTGATTGTCTTAAGTGCCCATCCCATTGTAAGGGGCGAAAAGCATTGGCTGTTTTGTTCTTCACATTGTAACTGCACAGTGGAAATCCTGCTACCTTCATCCATTAGCTTTGAAGCATATCCTCGTTTTGCTTTGTCATACAGCGTTTCCTGTTCAGGTAGTCGCTTGTGTTTCCCCGTGTCTGGATGTGCTTGTAATGATACAAAGCGGCTGTATGCTTTAATGCACCCTTCCTCGGGGCATGGGAAAAGTGGCGAGGCTTGCTCGTTTTCACCATCATCATCTTCTTGTTCTCGGCTATTGGCATCACTGGCTGCGTTTGGATCACTTGCAGATTTTTTATTTACATGTCTGTGTCTCACCTTCTTGAAAGATGGCTTAGTACTCAATTTCTGCGATGGGGGATCAACCACTTCAAGAGTTTCCGGGACCTGCAAAACTCCTTCAAACTGAGACCACGGTAGCAACTTTCCAGGACCCACATTAAATGCCCTCCACGCTCGTATTCCGTTCTCCTCATACTTGAAGTTGTTGAGTAAGCTTACACCATCCCATTTGACGTGCCGAGTGCTTGACGGGTTGAATGTAACGTAATTAACCTTAGCGCAAGATCCTGGACCAGACTCTATGGCTGTTTTGAGCTGAATTGCTGTTGTCACATCATTGCCCTCGTTTACATATCTTCCAATGTCTCCTTTAATAGTCGCTGCTTGGCGGTCGCATATTCCTTTTCCACCTTGAGGATCGGAAAGGTCGTTCCGTTCCACGCCCACGCCAGCAATGTCGCCTGCAACTTTTGCTGAAACGATAGTGTATCCGCTGTGGTAACAGCCGGCATTATCTTGTTTATAAAACGCCCTTTCTAATTCCGGCATTTCCTTCTTCAGCGAAACAAGACAATCCTGCATTATCGATACCACTATAGCACTGTCTTGTAAACAGTTCTGAAAGACATGTACGAATATTTGAGACTCAAACTGCTCGCCTTCTTCCGACTTCCTAATAGCAACTGTTATGTGCCATGGTAAACCGCGCTTAGCAAACCAGTCTGATTGCGGCTCTCGAAATTTTCGTGGCATAAATTTCATTGCCTAATCCTGCACTAGTAACACGTCGCATTTGCTCTTCATTTTAGCTAGAACAGAACATTTGGCCTGATCTTGGTGAACGGAGCGGAACTGGTGGGCTTTCCAGCTCATGATATTATTTCTGGCCTGCTTAACAGTGTGTAGCATGTCCGATTTCTGCTCCTCGTTACAAACTGCACTTGAACACTCACTCTCCAAGATGCTTAGAACTTCTTGCAGCTGGCAACACTGTGCACATGTTTCGTTGTGTGAATGACTGCAGCGGCCTTGGAAGTCAGAGTCTGTTGAGTCACTTCAGGCGTAAGTCCTACAATGATCAGCAATGCTCGAAGACTCAACCACATGGACCTGAAACAAGCCGAAGACAACAAAAACGTAAACAATTTCAATCACCGCATTTCCTCCAATAAGCGAGCTCCTCTTAAGTAAATCGCCCTTGGAACAAGCGCCAACCTCTATATTAGGAGCCCCTTCCTGACTCGATCCAGCGCCCGGGCACTTAGCGGAGGAAATACAGTAATTATATCGTCCTGATCTTAACTACTATTTCTATAGAACAATTACATTGAAAAGGCCGACGGTCCCCCTTTGTTTGCAAAATGTATAAATATAACTTACAGGTTATCGACAATAATTCCTTCCTTAGTTACGCACGAGAGGACCTGGAACTAGTTCAAGTATCAATATTATGCATTTTCAAAGATTTGAACTTTAGGAAAATAATTTGCCTGTGTTGTTGCATCAACTTTCTGTCAGTTTTGCGCCTTTCTTTTGAAGTACTTCATAACAAACCGTGTAATGAAATAAATCAAATACCTTGTAGTCACTTTTCAGGTATTGCTTTGATGAGCGTAACTGTTGCTTCATTTCCCTGGCCCACACTTCTGTTTTTCCACAATCAACCAGTTTATCGACCACTTTGTCCAGGTCATCAAATGCCTCTGCTCCTTGAGATGAAAAGTTATCAAGTCCTTGAAAAGACTTCCTAACAGACGCAGAACACTCATCTAGCACTCTATGCAGTGTTCGCCTTCTCATGGGCTCAAAACCTCTTTCACTGCAATATTGTTGGTACTGTTGAACAATACGCTCCGGAATCATCATTCTGATTACATTTGGTGTTTTAATAACCTCACCGGTTGATAACTTCAAAAGCCTTTCGCCAAATGGAACATCTTGAATCACATGTGAACTTGTGATAAATGAAATGAAATCTTCCAATTTTCCTTGGTCAACTTTCGTTCTCCTGTTTTCTTGGCAAGGGATCGGTTCTGCTCTTCCATGAAGCAGGGTGTGGTGTCGCGCTATGTCAAAGCGGTAACTTGTCAGGGTTGGGATAAATTCTTGCACCCCTTTGAAAGACAACTTGTCAGCCAGGATTGAGAGTATTTGCCGACGGGTACTCCAGTGTTGAGCGTTCAAATAACTCTCGGCAAATGCTTGAAGAAGCTCCACTTCCTTACAACTTTTCCCGCCAGTTGTTCTTCGATTCACTTCGCGCTCACATAATTCCCTCCACAAGCAATTCGAATCTTCAGGAGCAAGGACTTCCATTACTGCTGAAGCACACTGTTCAGCTTTCCTCAAATAACGGCGTTTAGTACGGCTTTGAGCTACATTCCATGGTACTGATAGTACGTGGCGGACTGGGCTGGTGTCACGAAGCTGTAGAAAGCGATTGAGCTGTTTCAGGGATTCACCTTGCACATAGTTTATTTCATCTTCGCTTTCTTGCGAATCTTCGTCTGGCACGTAAAGGCTCTCTCGTTTAGATCTACCTTCTTTGCATTCAGTATCAGTGATCGGTACAGGAAGGGAAATATCAGTGTCAGCTTCATGATCGACCTGTAGTGCGAAAAAGTTAAAATATTTTCTATATACAATGAACAAAAGATTCGCCCACGATTCGTGGGCCAGTTCGACATTTCTAGTAAAGTTAGTGTTAAAACACCTATGACTTCCTTATATCATTCACAAACCCTGCTTCCGACTCTGGATTACCAAGTTTTCCAGTTAAATTCTAATTAAGAGCTGTCTAATTTCGGCTGCCATGGACACATATCATAGGACAAGTAATTTAACAGTCCTCGACACATGCTTTTTTAGATTTCAAATGGTGTAATATAACGTATTTAGGTTTTGATGTACAAATTAATTTTCTTACTTCTACAGATACACAACGGAGAGGGTTGGCCACCCATCCAATCTACATCCTCCTCTCTCCTGCCCCCTCGCCAAAGATTACCCGTCCTTCGCCAACCTAAACCTAACTTGGCACGATGAACCGGACAGATAGTCATATCCGATAAATTCGCCGGCTTTTGAAAACATCCACATCTCGCCAAAATTAATTCTACCTCCGTTTCAATTCCGGAAAATTTCAACGACTTTTTGTGATTTTTGATATCCCAGTTACACCGCGTGAGAGGCGTGACGGAAGTTGAAGAACTTGTGCGTTCGTCTGCGCCGCAAATCCCACCAACAATATTCAAGAACGAGCAAGACATCGCTGTTCTATGAAGTTCCCCGACAATAAACTCTGGTTTTTAGATGCAATGTTTCACAGATAAAGATAATTCGATTTATTTATTTAAAGAACGATGCAATTTTCGTGAGAACAGGTACTTCTGATTGGCTATCGACGGCATAAAGCTTCTCATTCTTAATAAAAACAATTCATATCGTTTCAGTTTGAATTGCTATTATGATATTTTCTTTTATTTTTACTTCAGCAAGTTAACTGGGGAACCTGGCACATCGTTGAGTAAGATATTTTAAAATAAGACTTATTGTAAATTAACAGATGCAAATATCTGTTTGTTACTGTACTAATTGTAGCGAAGTCGCTCGTGCGTGACACAGATTAGGGAGCGAGCCTGTGAGATTTAATTTCAGCTCGTGGTAATTTTGGTGTTTCATAGTTTGTTTTACCTGTGTAGACAATGTTTAACATCAATATATATTTTTAAAAGGCTCAAACCGCTAAGAAAGTAAAACCCTCATGTTTTATGTACAAACTTTGGCCGAGGAGTTAATTTATTCAATAGTGCATTGTTATGTAGAGTTGTAGATTTCAAAGGCGCTCAATTGGAATTTTATCGAATTTTGATCGGCGTTCATGCAAAAGTGCTACAAGATCCTAAAGATTTAAAACCGTAGACCTAAAAATCAATGACTGAACTGTCTTTGGTTATAATATCAGAGGATTTGAAGAACTACCGGTCAGCTTTTTTCGTCGCTGAGTTTGGATTATTTTACACCTTCGCGTAAATGAGAAAAGTGTGTCTTCTTAATCGGGTCTCAGTTCGCTCACAAATAAGCAGAGATAAAAATAATTCCCATGGTTTGACTAAGGAAGAATCAATGTATTCAATTATACTTAAGAAAGATTCACAGCTATGTAAACGTCTGTGTAGCGAGAAGCTGAAAAGTGTAAAATTTCGAGTTTCCGCCAGGTGAAATCCGAGCTTCCGGTACGGTGACCGTTGTTCGTGGTTTTCTGCCGTTATATGGAATATTTCAAAAAACTAACCTCATATCCTTCAGTTACTTACCTAGGCCTTCAAACTGACAAAGTATGAGCGAAATCGATTTTTTGACCGTGGCCACGATTTCTTTGATTTTTACTGACAATCACTCTTAAGTGCTATTCAGTTTTTGGGATTCTATTTGCAGGCTTCTATTTTTTCGAGAATTTTGATTTTGTTGACTCTGTTGATGTTAATTGTATACCGTCGTACCCGGATGGTCTTTTTAACCGCAAGGATGGTCAACTGAAGGTTATGATCAATAAACTTAACCTGGTTCCAAATAGGAACCTCTCCCATGCAATTTACTAGCTCTGAGACCGCTGCTTTCTGAATTTTAGCCAGTCGAATATCTATTGATGGCGACTCTAGATCTTATGGAAAAGGACTAAAATTCATTTACAGGGGCGCATTTGGGATTTTCCAAAAAGGGGGGAGGGGGGTACCACGAGTGAATGTGAGAGTTAGTTTTGGTTTTTAAAAAACTCAGTTCAGCACTGATATTAATTGTTTTTGGTCCACCTAAGAAAAGGGAGGGGAGGGGCGTGCTCCCCCGTGCCCCCGCCCCCCTTGGATCCGCCACTGATTTATCAATAAACAGCTAGATTTTAATTGTTCTAAATGAAGTATGTGCGGATATCGTATTTATTATGTTGGCCACTGTTATTACCTTGAGATGATATAAAATAAGTATGCAACACTCTCTTGTGTTGTGTACCCTGAAATATTCCAATGTAATTTTTGGTCTACCACTGGAGAGCATTCCGTCATATCTGAATATGTATTCAAATTAATCCTTTGTATTGTTCCGAGATTATATAAATGATTTAGCGTTAGATTATGCCGAAACTCTGTTTCAATTACTGTTTGTGAAGAAAAAATGAAATAGTATTCATTTTTATTTTTAACCGGAAGTGTTATCCGGTGCTTGTAAAAAGAAAGCTTAATTCTGTTGACTGAGAGAAAACAACTGAAACATGTAAAACTTTTAGTTTACCACGCGGACAGCAAATGTAAAGTTCTTCTGTATCGTAAGGCGTGAAATCGGTGAGGATAAAGAGAAACTATTCCGCTCATCACTCTTCCAATCTATTTGTACGTGGTCCTTTGTGCTTGGTCCAATGTGAATGAATAGTTATGGCTTTCAATTGGTTTTGACGAGTAAGGTCATGAATAGTAAATTAAATTTATCACAAAAGGAACAGGAGAACGAATTTGATTTCTCAGATTACCTCCAGGCCTGGATTACTTCAAAACAGACGAAATAATTATAGGATCATGCAGTGATCGTCCTGTTGATATTTATGACAATCGCTAGGAACACTCTGACTCGTTTTATCACATGCAAAAAGTCAAGCTTTCGTACTGCTACCACCATTTCCATCACACCCCTGTCTGTAAGCGATATTTTATTTCTCTCTGGTGCCGTTGATCAAAGGGTTTTGGTCATTTCCTTGAAACTTGTATCCTCAGAGCGTTTCTCAACGGTTATTTATTTGGTATGTCACTTATCACGATGGCTTGAACAGCTGTACTCCATACATGCGCGTTATGAAGCCGGCAATACATCATGAATACACGAAGCCTATGAGAAACACTAGAGGGACATTTTTGATGAGGGTTGGATTGTGCATTTGGGGAGCAATTTTAACTTTCATGACAACGTCGGTACAACGATCATATGATCGTAAACGAACAGTGTGTTTCTAAAAATTTAAGGTAAAATTTGGTGCTATTGCTGCGAACTTACGTAACTACATCAGCGCCTTCATTAGAAGCTGCATTGATTATGTTCTCGGCAAATTTTGAATTACTCCACTTTGTCTGACATCACAACCACGCCATATTATCAAAATTACAATAAGCAAATAATTTGCGCAGAGAAGCAAAAGTTTCCAGGACACTTGTGACTGCAGTCTTGGGGTTCATAAAATGCTGGGCTCCGATAATGGTTATCCAACTGATCCATTCGTTTGCAGAATCTAGATTTAACCTACTAAAGAAATCTAGTTTAGTGTTTCTGTGTCAAATTTTTTTTCCATACCAGCAGTGCAGTAAATCCCTTTGGACTCACAAACAGACAGTTTAGGAAGGAATATATCAACCTGCAACAAGTTCTTTGTCCTTCATTCATTACCCTGCTGCGACACAGAGCTACTGGCTTAAATATGTTTTTAATGTTCTAAGAGAGACCCAAAATGAGCTGAAGTTGGTGATAAACCATGGATCTTTTGCTATATAGTTCTTTGCTGCCCATGTGAATGTAAAAGTCTTAAAGCTGAAAGCAGCTCAAATAATCACATGTCGTCTATGATGAAAGATTCAGGTCGAAATATTTTTGTGAGTCAATAAACAAAGGGGTTTACTGCACTGCTAGTATAGAGAAAACATTTGACATAGGTACAAATATTTCACTTATTTGTATAGGAACTAACACCCATTACCAACACTGAAACTAATCAAGCGTGTACCTTTCAATAACTGTTGAAATGCGCCATTGTCTCTGTGTCTTCTTAACTCGCGTTCCGTCAGGAACAAGTCAGCGGCCATCTTCGATTATATTTGCGTGTGTGAAGCTGACCTAGTCGCTGTGACAGAGACTTAACTGAGCTGCTATGATAATACAGTCCGAGCAGAGCTTTGTCCGGATGAATATAAGCCATTGGATCATGTACGCGATTGTCGTCAAGGCGGTGGTACAGCTCTATTGTTCAGGGACTCGCTGACGGTCAAAAAAGTGGGTGGTGGCGCTAAAATGTCATTTGACTTTTCAGAGTGGACCGTCCAGCTGGCTTCTTCCCACGATTTCGGCTAGTTGTAGTATATCGACCACAGTCTGACTCTGATGATCACAGGCTCCGCATGACCACGCTTTTGAACGATTTTACGGACTATCTACAAACGGTAATTCTCGGTAAAGAATAGCAGGTGATCGTCGGTGACTAGCGGTGACCACTATCCATGTGGATGTACCCCTTGCAAAATGGCTTTTGGAATTCCTAGGAATTCCTAGGAATTTTTTCCCCAGGAATTCCTAGGAATAAAGGTGTGAATTTTCACGGTAAATTCGGACTGGGAATTCCGAGGAATTCCTAGGAATTCCCAACCATAACAACTCTGGTTCTAAAAACCTAGAAATTCCTAGAAATTCCCAGAAATTCCCAGAAATTCCAAGTTTATAGCCAACAGGACTTGGAATTCCTAGGAATTCTTAGGAATTCTAACTCAGAGAACCAATGACTTTCCCTGAAAAGCTGTAAATCTAAAAAAAACCTAGGAATTTCTGGGAATTTTCGGGAATTTTTAGGAATGTTTAAGAAT